AAAGAAATGTTCAACTCAAGATAAGGAAAAGACCCATCCCTCGATCTATACAGTATTTTCAAATTCTTTATGCATGCTCTTAAGTTTGCCTATTTGCTCCTAAATTTACTGTGTGCTGATTCTCTTTCTTTTGATCAGTTATTTTATACTTCTTTAAAATTTTAGGATTCTGGCTGGTTTTCTTTAAATTGTTCATTCATTGGTTATGGAATAACTAGTTGTCCTGATTCAGAGGTTCCTGAGTCAAGAATAGTGCTGAGGCAGGGGCAGCCAACCCAACCCAGTGTGCCCCATGGCCTTTGTCTCTTCTCTTCTCCACGGCCCCATCTCTCACAGCCAGCCCCATGCTCCCTCCCCTGTGTACTGAGTTTATGCTATTGTTTTAAAGCTCCTTGTCGCTCATCCATTGACTTACTTCAAAACTGCTCCCCATGCTGAATATAAGGGCACAAGCCTGTCATCCACCACTTGGAAGGCAGAGGCAGGAGGAAAACTTGTCCCAGGCAAACCTGAGCTATATAGAGAACATGAAACATCTTTAACACATTGCTGTACAGCATCCGTAATGTGTGGCCCCGGGCATGAAGGAGGACAAATAATTATGGTGATGAGAGCAGCAGTAACCAAAGTCACTTCACTTCTGTAATGTCTCGTGTTCCCAGCCATTCCTACGCTTCAAATGTATGAATGCACATGGAATCAGCACCCTCGGTAGGTGCTGTAATTCTCATCTGTAGATGAGGAGACTGTCATTGCGAAATTAAAAGAAATGACTTGTCCAAAGCCACAAAGAACTAATTCATGATAGGCCATAGAGTTCTGGAATCTGAATTCTAGTCCATTACCCACCATGATTCATTGTGATTTTGATCACTTTCAGCCCATTTGCTTTGAAGGTAACTTAAACAAGAATGTATTCAACATGACAACGTTCTGCTGAACGTGAAAGAAGAAACTATAAGAGAATCATCACCCTTGAGCTAATCGTTTATAGTCTAGCTGAAGAAATGAAACCCTGTAGATTGAAACGATCTTTGTAGAACAATTGGGAGGACATATGAAGGAAGAATTCCTGTGAACTGTAGTACTGTGACAGAATAGAACTTGGATTAGTTGGGGAGAATTTGGAAGAGTAGATAGGCTATGGAAGGATTTCTCTTCCATCCCAAGCTAATGTCAAAGTGACCATCTTGTCTAAAGGGACTGGTTGTTTTAAAATGGGAAGTGAGTTTGAAAGAATGCGGAAGAAGTGTTATGTGAAGGTCTCAGAAAGCCAAGTCTACACTTTCTGACCAAAAGAATAGTCAAAGAACTGAAGCGATACATTTTAGCCGCTAAACAAAAGAGAAATGAGATGTGGTAGGAACGGGAGTCCTCCGCACCTGATGTGACCACTGTGCTGTTCATTTTGTAGGCTTTAATTATGCCCACTTCGTGTCCCCTCATCTTCTGGTTCCGCAAATTCCAACTCAGCACCAGAGAAATCTTTCTGGTTTCACTTGGAAATGGTACCATGTTCCTGTGTCTGCCCATTCCAAACAGGCCTGTCAACCCCGAAACCTAAATGCAAGCTGACAGAAATCAACTACTAACAAGTTAAGTTAAATTAATAGAGTAGATGCCTAAAATACAGAAAGTCCTGTGTCACCACCACTGGCCAGGAATTTTTCTCCCTACTTGCCAGGCTAGAGCAAAGCAAACCCATTCTCCACAGTTAGCCCTTTCTTCCTAGAGAGCCCCCTAAAACTCTCTCCAAAACTCCTACTCCCCCTGTGGCAGCCCCCCAATCCCAACTGACCAGTTCTACAGCTATAACAGTATAGGAATCAAGATCCCCCTTACCCTAAAAAATATTGGCCTCAACAGATTATTAGGGAGAATAAAATTTCTACACGGACCAATGTATCTAAAATCCACTTATGAACAGCTTTCTAACTACAAGAACACAAGATGAAACAATGGGTCCAGAAGATCTTACAGAGTTAGAGGAGGAAAAGTGTCCAATAAAAAGAGAAAGCCTGCTTCAAATCCTGGCCCCTCCTGCAAATAACTGTGTACCCTTGACCTAAAGTTTTGTAAATGTAAATAATTTATACGTTTACAGTGACCAATGCAGGTCTGTGTGGACTTGTTTTCTTAAGATGACATTTAAAGCTTTTATGAAGGCAAATCTAATGGCTTATTTTCATTGTTATTCCATTTATGGGATAAAAGCATAAAATAAACAAATGTTCAATCTCATGTTCACTATTTCTTCCTTCTCATCTTCCCATTGTTCTTTTCCTAGTTTAGAGGTGATTTTTTGTGCCAAGTGGAATGGATCTCCCCCCTTTTCACCACCTCTGTCTATAGAGGAATTCTTTTCCAACTTCAGATCGAGGCTTATGCTTGGGGTTAGGCATTATGGCTTATTCAGCTGTGTCAGTCCTCAGAGTAACTGATGTCATTATGAAAGGTAAACTTTACCTTAAAAGGGGGGGGGTCAAGCTCAGAAGCTCAGCATGGGTGAGATCTGTGCCTTTTGTATAAGATCAGACAAGTATACTAGTCCTGTGGGAAAGGAACCTGAATATGGAGATCTAATAAACTCAGAGACTGGCCAATGTCATGTGACCCAATGTCATGTGACCATTCTCCTTCCTCACTCACACCCAACACACACACACACACACACACACACACACACACACACACACACACACACACGAGAATCAAGCATTACTAGCAGGAGATACTGGGAATAGGAATACCCAAGAGTGGTTTGGAAGTTCTCTGCATTATTCATTAGAATAGCAGTTTCTCTGCTAAGAAGGAAACCTACTGCATCTACATTTTAGTAGCTGATAGACTTTAATGTAGGAAGTCGAGAGGTTTGCCAGTGACTAGCACTTAGATCCTAGCAAGACCAAAGTAAAGTTCAAAAGAACAATCTTCTAGCCTCCTGCTCCAAATATTGAGGAATCCTGTCCGTAAGGAAAGGAGAAATGCTGCTGCTTGTAGGGAGGCAACCAGGCTAATGGATTTGAGGATTTAGTGAACTTTAGACCCTGCCTTTCTCAGTGTGGTGAAACTGAATATGATCTACTACATTCTATTTAAATTGGAGCCGTCTGCTTTTGCTATTCTTATAAAGCAATTGTGTGGAAGTGTGCATATTCCTGGGACATCATAAAGATTTAAATCATAGTCAATTTTACTGTTTTTTCCAATTTTTAAATCTAAAACAGCTTGAGCACCTGAAGAGACTTAGCAATTCTGTTGCATTATGCTGCATCCGATAAGATTCCTTTAGGAAACAGTGATGCTGTTATCAAAGATAATAACTTACATAGCCATCTTTCTCTTATTAGCTTCTTTGAAGTAAACTGACATGCAACTGTCTGACTTAGAGAAGAAATATCAAAGGATGAATGAACGTGTGAGTGAGTGAGTGGATGAGTTACATCACAATGTCCTGTAGCTCTCCAGTCATCCCCCATGTAGTTCTAGCTCTATTTAATGCTACAGAAGCAGGACTGTCTCCAGTAGTATTAGTGATGGTCTAGAACAGTACTAAATTGAGTGGAAATCACTACAAAACTCTCCTTTGGCTAATGTGTTCTATTTTCTTCTCTGTTATGTTTTAGACAGAACTGCCCATACACAGCTAGATTGGGGGATGCAGGCCCACTCCTGCCTCCCTTCTGACAGAGGTAAAAATAACAACACAATACGCCCACAGCGAGCAGAAGAGCTGAGGAGAATCATTTGTTACAAGACTGGTCATCCACACTAGAAATATTGAGAGATGACCAGAGGGGGTGCCGAACTTCAAAGCCATTGAGTCTAGAGGGACCCTGCAGGGGACACAGTAAAGAAAACAAAATGAATATCCAGTTGGAGAATATTGCTGGGACAAGAGTGCTGATTCCTGGCATTCAATTAACTGCCAGGCCCTAAGAGTCCTCCTCTTTTTTGAACAAATGAACCCTTGGTGCCTGCTTGGTTCCTGGGGATGGATGTTAACACAAGTAGCCAGTTCTTTGGGTGTTTTGAAACTAGGAAAGTAGGAAGGACAAATAAGGTGGAATGTCACAAATACCTTTCTGTGACGTGAATGATCTGTCCACCTAACACCCCACCTGCTCCAGGCCCTGGATAGCTTAGTTTCCACCCTTCTCTCTTCCTTTTCTAGATTCCCACAACTACATACACTTTCGAAGTTTTGTCAGCCTCAGAGCCATTGAACCATCAGCTTCAAGACACCATCATTAATCATTACTCTGCCATGGTAGAGCATGTAGTTCTTAGAAACAGTATAAATCTAGAAAGGGAAAGTCAGTGGGCAGACTGGAACTGGGATTTGAAGTTCATTATAGGTGCCCACAATTTCCCTCTTGTCATTCTCTTTAGATAGAAAAAAAATATCTCAAGTATCATGTGCTGTTCTAGAATTGTCTGTCCATGACCTCAAAGGGCAAGTTTTATTTCATTATACTGGGCATCTTCTCTATTGGTAGATGAATGCAATATGACCTGTGGTCTGCATCTGTATTTGTAGGTTAATGAAAACAATAGATGTTCAATAAGTATTCCATAGCTGCTTCAACAGTTTTCTATCCCAAAGCCCTGTGTTCTTCCTACCATCCAATCAGGAGGCACTCCTCTTTTATAACTTCATTTTCCTTAGCAAGCCTTTCCCCAATCTGTGTGGGCATTTGTTTTAGCATACTCTCTCATGTTGTATGTTGTATGTATTCAGTGTACAACCATTGTCTGTTCCAACTAATAACATTAGATCAGGTAATCAGTAAGCTTTTCAAAAAATCAAAACCCCGTTTGAAATTGCCAACATGCCAATTAAATCAACAAGAAAGCCTGGGTTTCCAGAATATCCTATCTTGTCTTCCTGAGTTGTTAGAACATAGTTCTCAATACACCCCTACATGCCTTCCCTATAATGAATGCCGAAAAAAGTCAGCTGAGTTGACCAGGTCTACATTTCTTTTCTGTTGCTCCAGGATTCTTCTACAGCCAGATGACTCCTTACAGATCTTGGCACCAGTGGAAGCTGATGTGGGTTTCTATACTTGCAATGCCACAAATGCCTTGGGATATGACTCTGTCTCCATTGCTGTCACACTAGCAGGTAACCTGAAAACCTCCATCCAGTTCTATTCAGAAATCTTTATGACTGAATGCCTACAATATGTCACAGGATGCATAGATAAATGTGAGCCTGATATCCTACCTACAGGGAGTTTATCAACTATAATCACAATAGAAATGAAGTTTACCATGAGAGAGAATAAAGTATTGCAACTGAAACCAAAAAGTAGGCAGGAACATTTTATGCATATGAGGAGGCCTTAGAGTTCGGGTGAATAGGATTTTTTGTACATGGAAACATGGGAAATACTCAGAGCAGAGGGAACGAGCAAAGGTTGTGTATGCCAGTACATGACATGATGGGGAGCACATGAGAAGTGTGAACCACAATTATTGAATGCCTTTGGAAATCCTGTCATTTCTCTTTGTCTCACATCTTGCCAAAAAACAAAAGAGAGACTTTAAGGTTGTGGGCAGCTAAAGTTCTGTAGTCATAGCTTAGAGCAGGGTGTTCCTAAGAACTTCTCTCTGATTCTGCTTTACTCAAGTTGGAGTTTTGTTTGAACATATTCCTACCAATTGTTTGCCCATATCCACGCAGGCTAAACACAACTTTCTGCACATTGTGACTAAAATCACCGACACTCGAGTACAATGCCTTCCGGGGCTGTGGTGTTGAAGCAATGTATTATTTTTTTTAACTTCTTAACCTGGAACAAATCCTTACCTTAGAAACCATGAGAGACCTTAGATACTAAGTGGACCAAAACCCCATTTCTTAGAGGCTAGACAACCTGAAGTTATACCTTTGCCTAGCTGGTGTGAAGAACAAGAAGGGGCTGAGGTCTCCTCAAGCTCAGCAATTCATTACCTCCACTGCCCCACTGATCCTATCAAGACAGGATCCTTTTTCTTAGACCTGAGCTAACAGTCTTGCATGTGTTTGTATTTATTCTTTTCAATTGCTACTCCCATCAGATGATTCAGTAGATGCTAGGAAAGCCAGCATCACCCACACTGACCTCATCCGTCTATGTGGGGATTATGTTGTCACACTGTACTCTAGTCACACATGCTACTCCCTTTCATATCTGTTTTGCAAGAATACTTCTGCTCCTATGACCTAAGGCTGAATCTCAGAGAGGATCTGTAGCAGCTTTGCAGGGAAGATGGAAGCCGATAATGAAGAAGGCAGGCTAAGGTGCCCTGGCGTGAATTAAACTCTGGGGGGCGGGGGGGCAAGATTTTTCTTTTCCCTAATGTATTCCAGTTTCAATCTTCATTCTTCTCTCTATACAGAGCCCAGATGCTCAGCAACAATCTTCTAAAATCTCTTCTGCTGTCTCCTCGCCAGCCCATACTTACATGGGCACTGCTGACATGCTTCCAACTGTTGGTCAATGGTGGATTAACTCTCTTGTTTCTATTGAGTTAGATACAGTTCAGCTCTGCCACAGACTAAATACCCTTGTTTGCCCGAATTTAATACAACAAATAGAAACTTGTCTGGGGTTAAACAAGGCTGTTGTAACACCAGGCTCATCTTCAGCTCTTTGAAGGCAAGCTTTTGGGAGCTGCCAAGAGGTTCAAAGCCAGAGAAGAGAAACAGGGGGTTAGCGGGGCACCAAGGAAGCAGGGAGAAAGGGGCTACATGATGAAGTATGACCACAGACACTGTGTCCCCATCCTTCAGCTGCTGCTGAGTTTGTCCAGATCTGCTGATAAATCCTTCTAGCAGTTCTTCTCAAAGCAATGCTGAAATCGGGGTGTTGCCTTCAGATCATGTTTGCACTTTTATCTGGGGTTGTCATCCACATCTCAGCCAACGTTGTGAAACACTGAGTAAGAAAATGCAAGTTCCGGGTTTCAAGATGCTTACAGATTAGGGAAGGCAGTGGATGGTGCCTATGGAGAAATCGGTAGGCTCCTGCTTAAGTCCAGCATAGCGGCTCACACCTGGAATCCTGCCATTTGAGAGGCCGAGGCAGAAAGAGATGAGTTCTCAGCCAGCCTGAACTATTTAGCAAGCTCCAGGCCAGCAGAGGTTCTACAGAGAAACCCCATGTCAAAACAAAATGAAGATGCGGCTCCGCGATATATATTAGATGAGCTAAACATAATCCGAATTTGGAGGTGGGAATGAATATTGAACACTTGTAAATTTGATTATCAGTTATTAGCTACATGATCTTGAAAAAAGTATAAAACTTCAGTGTCTTGGGTATCACTGAAAGCAATACTAATCACAGGGTTGCGTGAAGTTAAGCCTATGGTGTGAAAAGGAGCTTAAACTGAGGAAAGCTGGGAGCAGGGGAGGTGGTCTTCCCCAGAGAAGAGCACACCAATTGCTTTTCTAGTGCCATATGTTCAGCCCTGAACACATACATACAAGTAACATTATGTGGATTGAAGAGGTTATATTTAGGAATATGTCTGTATACATAGACATATATGCATGTAATCACATAGAAGAAGAGGCCGTGAATTTGAAGGAGAGTGTGGAGGGGAATATGTGAGGGCTTGGAGGGAGGAAAGATATGTGTGTATGTGTGTGTGTCCATATGTATGTATGTGTGTACATATGTATGTGTGTGTCCATATGTATGTGTGTACATTGTGTATGAATGAAAAAAAAAGAGCTTAAACTAGTACTGGCCATATGATTCACACAGTAAATACTAGCTTTCTTTCTCTAGCTCTTCTAAAGTGAAAACAGCTCTAAGATCGAAAAGCATCAGTTCAGCTTTGAGTCCATGCTGTTTTTAGCCTGAGTCTTCAATACCAATGTCTTTCAGGTGTGGACTTAGTTCACTTACCGGTAGATTCTTGTAAACTCCAGGCACTGCTGTACACATGGAGAAACTGCAGTGTTTTTCCTGGACTTCAGTGTAAATGTAGGTCAAAGAGAAAGAAAACTGAGGCTCAAGATAAATAAGTGACCGGATAATTTCCTAAGAAAAGTGCAGGCTTTGGTCCTGTGGGTGCCCCCACCTCCCGTGGAGATCCAGAGAGCCTCAGAGCATAGGTCTGAATCACACTTAGTACTGCCTAAGAAGCCATGCAGTTTCTTAACTTGCTGATTTTGTGAGAATTAACAGTATCTCCCAGAAATATTCTGTGATGATTAAATCAGTCATTCACATAAAATGCTTAGACTAGTCGTGCCCAGCACATCTCAGGCACTACTACTTACTAGATTTACTGTTTGTAGAATCACTGTTTGCAGTATCAAACCAAAGTCACCTAATCTTCAGAGCAGGGAGAGACTCCCAGAGACTACAATGCTTACCAGCACTTTTTGAAGACCGTTCCTCCCAGTGTCTCTGAGGCAGTTGGAGAAGTTGGATTAGCCAACTGTAAAGTGCTTAAGCACCTGGATTGAGACAAGGGAGGTGGCTTGTGATAAGAACACTGGGAGAGGCCCAAGTGACTCTCATTTTTAATACCTCCTAGTTAATTTAGATACAGCAGAGCTGGGTAAAGGGGAGTTTTTGATGTGTACTCATAGTAGCAAGAGATTGGAACACCATCTTGGCCAGCCAGATTCCACACTGAGCCACATTGCTCAGAAGCTTTCCTAATCAGAATGGTACTGGGCAGCGTTTTGAAGAGAAGCAGTAGTTTCTTGGTAAATTGCTTCCGTCTGGATCGGTTAGCTCCACTTACCAATGCAGATGAGAGCCTCCCCAGGTGTAGATCACTGCTGAAGTCATACCCAAAAGGGAAGTGTTTCTGGTTGTCATTGAGTTTATAAGATCACAAAAAAGATACTATAAGGCCGGCTTGACATCATCCGTGGAAAATGAGAAGAAGATGAGGGCGAAGGAGTGGGTGTATCTGTCATGGAAAGGACAGAGCACAGATGAGCTCATCCCAAGTTTGCACAGGGAGACAGAAAATGCCTCTCCTTTCCTGGCATGTTTCCCTGTCTTTTTGTGAGTTGAATAGCTGACACATATTGTGTCTAATAAAGAGATCATAGAGAGTCTGCTGGGAGAATAAAACTAAAAGGTAGTTGTTTTGGATTCTTTCTGTGCCCCTCCTCATCACGATTTAGTAGCTGCAATAAAAGAGAAAAGGAATTGTGTGAGCTCTTCATAATGTTAAGTCATTTCAAATTGGCCGCCCTCAATTTTTTCAAGCAGCCGCTGTTAGCTCGAGTTTTCTTCATCAAGTTAAACTCAGAGGGCCTTATCACCAGTAGCAAAGGCTAACAAAAGAAACTTTGCTACAGTGTCCAGATCAAAAGAAAAGCTAGGTGGGTTTAAGTATATCCCAGTGGTACTCTGAGTCATATGGTACTAGCCATTGACTGAGTCAACCTGCCATCAAAAGGACCCTGTTACTGGCTAGAATCCTAAGTGACCAAGGCCTTAGGTTCTCAAGTGCAGATGCATAGAAAGCCCATGAAAGACCTATGCTTCAATATTACTTAAAGATGAGAGTACAACCAATTTACTTGGCTCTCAAGTAGACTTGAGGAAACAAATAAGGTACCAGCAAGTGTTGCAAGCAGACTTGGAAAAAGAAAAAATTCCTCATCTGCCCAGTAGGGTGCAAGAGGGATGGGTTGTTGGGCAGATGAGGAATAGCATGTCTTCATCATGATTTCTAGGAGAGTCTGCAACCACCTCTAGTAATACCCACTATGCATCCTTTGTCTAGAACTCTAGGCGGAACATGCAGAAGACATGACAGAACCCTTAGCTGTCTGTTCTCCTGAGGGGTCAAGTTCAGTTGATTAATTAGAAATGATAATGGCAAGAACCTGAGGAACATGATATCCTGGCATGGGCAAAAAGAAATATCTAAGTGAATAGTAATGGAATCAAGGCAGCTTGGACATGTTTGGGAAAGGGCTCTGTGAGCCACACTCATGTCCTCTGATGCTCAGGACCCTGCACCATTTATACCAACACACACCAAATAAACAGAATTTCAAGGGTAAAGAAATTCCCATTCCTTCTTGTACTTGTTCAGGATAAGTAGTAGCCACAATGTGACCCTGATTGACCACAATTTTTTTTTTAGTTTTCTTGA